CGTTGATCGCATCCTTACGCACCATCAGGTGTTGGAGCAACGCCGCATGTGCGGACGACCCAGAATCCTGTTGATCACTCAGTCTTGTTAACTACGCTTACTCAACAGGGTACGCCTCGATCCCTATGTCCGCGTACTGCTGGACGGGTGAGAGTTCATGGTGGACTCTCCAAAAGTTTCCCCGCAAAAAGCGGTGTCCGACAAGGATATCCACTCTCCCCATCCTTGTACAACGTCATCATTGGTGAAATAATGAGGCGAACGCTGGAAGGTCTTCAAAACCCCGGTGTTCAGATTTTAGCTGGCGAGTCCTGTCGATATGGAGTACGCAGACGACATCGTCCTCATCTTTGAAGATCAAAACGAAGCACAAGCTCCGTAAAATAGACTGACCACCATCATACCATCTTTTTGCGTGCGTCTTGCACCTTCAACGTGCACAGTCCTGCTTCAGCACGTGCAGTCTCCGAACATATCCATTAAAAATCAAGGAGAATCACTAAAGATTGTGGAAAATTTTACGTATCCCGCTAGTTGTATTAGCTCTGGTGGAAGTGTGTCTGATGAATTTAGTGCACGGACCTCAGAGGCTCGAATCCTGTTTGCCAATTCTCGTCACTTGTGATGTCAAAAAGGCATATCACTAGATTTTAAGGGTCGCGGTACCAGGCTACATTAAGGGTTGTGTTGTTGTATGGATGCGAGGTATGGCTTCTGCGGACGATGTGGGGCCTCTTCAGGTTTTCCACCACCGACGCTTCAGAAGCGTGGCTGGTTTTGGATGACGTCAGCATGTTAATGACGAGGTGATTAGAAAACGGGAATCCGGTTGTGCGGCTGGTATTTCAGTTGGGGAAAATATCCAGCACCACCGACTACGATGGCTCGGTCATGCGCTACGCATGGCGAAACACCGTCTACAGAGACGAGTGCTGTTCTCTGTACCCCCTTCAGAATGGTGCGAACCGCGAGATGGACAACACATGACTTGGCAGAAGGGCGTGAAAGAGATCACGAAGAGTTTGGGTGTTGTTGGTGTGGTACGCCCCGTGACCCCGCCTGTGATTGACTGGAGACATCGCAACATATGGCGGCTGATCGATGTCAGTAGCGTTCGTGTTGTCACTTTCTTTTCAGATTGTCTGATTGAGAATTTAGTGGTGTAGCCACTTCAGAATGCTTGACATAGACCAGCACTTAGTCCCCTACCTCACCCACTTTTTTCTCTTCTTGTCACTGGTTTTTTAAAATATAATTAGATGAACCCTATGGTTGTACGGCAGTGAAGTATCAGTGTCAACGCTGATGTTGCTTTTTTCAGTGATAATGATGACAAGGTACCCAGACTTAAACAGGATAATGATTGGGGTCTTCAACCAAAACTTTTGGCTCAAAAGCCGGACCTAAGTGTGGTCGTGTTTGGCGGGAACTGCCAATACCTTATCACTTCTAAAGAACAAGTCGCCTAATCTGTTCCATTCCTCAACCTGGAAGACCAAGGGACTTGGCCAGACATCTAACCACTGATGGACTTAGCATGTTGCAGTGGCACTCCTTGGTGTGGCTCAATGGGTCATTGAGTTTTTGCAAGCCTTCGCACTAATTATGCTCGGTCTCTTCCTGATGGATATGCCGGCAACTTTGTGAACACAATGAATGCATGCACCAATAGCACCTATTGTCGTAACAGTTTCGTGACATCACTGCTACCCTTCATGTACTAGAGTTCATTCCAGTTTTTTCTCACGCTGCCCTAGCTGATGCACTCGCCGGATGGGTTAAGATTTCTGTTTTTGATTTTTCACCTCCCAGACAATACATACGAACAATTTCGTCTTAGTTGGTACACGAATCGGGTCTTCTGTTTCCAAAGACTCCTGCCCGAGTGATTCCTCGCCAGCTAGTTACCCAGAATATCCGATCCAGACCACCAATACACAAAACCTGCGGGTCTCACCAAACGTGGTTTTTACTACCGAAATGTTATCATTTGTCGTCAATCGGCAATGCACGAGATTCTCCTTCGTTCGTTTTCTTTACTAAAGGGACGGTTTTTGTCGACACTGTTGAGAGAAAATTGTCCACCATGTGTAAAGGTCGCACATAGTGATCGTTTCAACTTCATAATCGGGTAATCGCAGTTCAACTTCTCCTGACTGCAAGACACTAACAAATTTCGAGTGGTTATTCGGACTGACTTTTCAATTGAATGATTCAGATAAGTTTTTTAGGCAAATGGAGCTCACTTCGATCAAACTCGCCGCAGTAAGCATCTATATTATTCATCTCCGACAGGCCACATGAGCGACCAAGCAAGCCAATCATGAAATGCCAGAACGCGAGAAGTGTGCCTAAATGTAAACAGATGGAGAACTAGGAAACGTACCAAGTGTTTCGAGATGAAATATTGCCGCCTGTGATAATTCCCCTAACTGACTCGTACACCAAAGGATCGGTTCAAGGAAGTTGAAATGCCCATGGGATTATGGGGCGGGATGGCCCAGCACGAATTCACTGAACGGAAGGTCCGTGGTTCGAACCCGACCTCTGTCTCTCGACTGCACCTGTCTAGGCTTGGACAACCTGGCAGTGTCCCAGCCCTCATGCCTCCTTCGGGCGGCATGGTAGTTAGGCACCGAAAGGGTGTTACAGCTGAACGATTATTATTTATTTACGGGATGATCGCATGGGCCTTCCGAGGGTACGGTGCTAGCAGTGACACTGGCAAGCTCTCGCATCCACTCAGTTTTCCCAACCACGCACTCTCGATCAGTATCAACTTATGCCTACCAACAACGCAGTCAGCGGGAGAGATTTAGCTACCGAGGCCCAGGAACTCCACCGCTCTCCCAATTTCCACTGCACTCACCGCGGTTAAAAAAACCTAACAGGTGCCCTGACCGTGGCTCTGCTGGTGCCCCTTAATTACACCCACGCTTGACTCGGAAAGAAATAATCGTGATCGCCCAATCACGCTCTAGTTAGCTATTCGACAAGAGTAAAAAAATATGGAATGAAATAATGTAGTCAATCGGGTAGGAGTAGAAGGCTTCGAACTTCTACAGCGTATTCCACGTGAGGTCTGATGCACGCTGTGGGAACACACGGGCTGTACGCCGAAATCCCAGAACTTCTTATTGATTTGGAGGTAAGCTGGGGGGAGTCAAGGTGATAATGTATTGTGCCCAGCTGATACAGTTTTGCATTTCATTAGTTGTAGGACTAGACAATCCTAGATAGTTCACCCTGGAACGTCTTCGTTAAGTTTGGAGTATACGATGGTTCTCTGGGGACGTCATATCACGCGTCTGCAAAAAGAATGGATGGGGAAATTATCGACCTCGTAAAATCATTCATGAATAGGTGACAGTAAGCGCGGTAGAGCTTCATGTGAAGTTTAAATTGCCTATTGTCCTCCGTTGACTCGTATGGTGTTGCGTCCAGCGGGATAGTTTGCCGACCGTTCAGCAGTGGGTTTCGGTTGCCGTGACAACTTAGCTCTATGCGGAACCCAAATGGATCATATCTACGGCTTCCCAGTAGTGAACAACGAAGGTCTAAGCCTTCCTCTCTTGCAAGTATTAGGTTCGTTAGCAACGACCTCTCCTACTGGGGAATCTCAATTTATCTCAGGTGTTGGTGGTTGCGGGACTTCGTAGAATACAAACATACATACTCACATACTCTCGTTTGAACAATCCTCCTCCTGTCCTGATGCAGTCATTCTGGTGGGCATGAAGCGCTGGACTCAAGTTTTGCTGCTATTAGAGCTCATCAAAACGTGCATGCCTAATGGCCGTGTCGGGATTCGAACTCAGCACATCTGACATGCGAGGCGAGCGTGTTACCACTGCTCTACCACAGCAGGCTGGACTCATCCGAATTTTTATACGTCTGAACAGGTGAGCATGTTCGCGCTTGAGTGATAAGAGCGAAATGCCCGTATTAGAAGGTTTCAGGCATCTGTGGCGCTATTCTACTGGGAAGCCCTGACATGGAGGACGTAAAATGTTCGGATAAGTCCAACATGTGCCGTGGAGCAATGGTGACACGCTCGCCTCGGATGTCAGATGTGCTGAGTTCAAATCCCGGCACGGCGATTGGATATGCAAATTTTGATGAGCTCTAATAAGGGCGAAACTCGAGTTCAGTGCTTCTTGAGCTTGTGATATGAACTCACCAGAATGATAGCGTCAGAACAGGAGGATGATTGTTCAGACGAGGGTCATGTGAGTATGTGATCTCAATTTATGCCTGTGAAACCTCGTTACTCCGATTTGAAAACCCCTTGGGACACTCAGTCGCTGATGTCTGCGTAGCGAATTAAGCGTTGGATGACTGCAGTATATCCTTGACAGACTCGTCCGTGAATGTTAGGCGAGAGAAGCAAATAAAACCCGTCGATTTTCATATGCCAGACCATCGTATACCGAAAAAAGCCGTATTTTATATTCCCTTGTTGGTGAAAGGTTACCAATGGATATGCTATGACGCGGGAGTGAAGGCGGCTACTATTAAACTGGGCGACATAAGGTCTTTCTTGGGCGGAGTCCACATAATTCTGCCCGCGGTTAGAAACCGCGCAACCGATCCCAGCGGTAACCTGGCCGTCACTATCTGGCGGAAGTGCCCAGCTAAGGCGTGTCTGTCGCTGCGCGTTGGGATTTTATTGGAGTGTACTCGCACAGGGTGCTGGTATCTTGCACCAATATGGTGCTCATATATGTTCACTTGATTGGTCTTAGAAGGCATCTGTTGCCTTGGAGACAGGACATTCTGTGAAAAGGCCCTGTATATTCTCCTCCCTTGTTGTCCGAGATGATGCTAATGGTGTTTGCATTATACGAGGACTTTCATTCGGATCGGCTCACCAGTTGCAGGTAGCAAATCTTCAACCAGTAAGGCTCCAATTGAATGTTCTGAGTGCATTTGTGCTCGGAACACGTGAACCTGTCCATGGAATCACTGAGTAACGTTCGAATCAGAATAGACCAAATGACAATGGTACAAGCCGCAACTGAACTGATGGTTGTGGAACTGGACCCCCCGGTGATGAGTGAAAAATGCGCCGCAACAACCAAGAGTCTGCCATCTGTAATTAGAGAGGTTAGGCGCTTTCAGACGCGGATAATTTTTCCATGTTTCAGCTCCACTAATGTGGCATCTGAGATGGAATTGGACTATCGATTGTACACGTAGATATATCAGCACTTCGGGGCCGTTGCATTTTCGACAAAAGTTGGCATACAAAACTCGATACCACTGGTTACTTGACGTCCAGAAAAGTCGTCAACGCGCTCGTTTCCCCTGGATACCGAGGTAAGCGAAACTGTTGGAGTAAACTATCCACATTACAGAGAACCTCCAACAGCAGTGAACATTGATGATCAACGAATTGAATTTCCGGAGATGCAGCTAGATTTCATTGTACCGACAGATCTGAATCAATGTGAACTTAAACCATATGTTGACTGGAGGGCATCCACGCCAAAGGAAGACGAATTAACAGCCGATAAACTTTTTGACAAGAAATATATTCCGAAAATTCAAAATATGTATGAACGAGGTATAGATAAAAGCGAAATAATTAAAAAAGTGACAAATTATTTGGCCTTCTACAGTCTTTGTATCACGCGCCATGATATATCGCCCAGCTCTCAACGCGATGGTTTCCGTATCTCCATTTTCACTCGCGCCTCTTTGTAGTCGGCTCTCAGCTGGATAAAGTTTTGGAGCAGTTCAAGTGGTATACCCGACTGAAGATAGTCTTGTGATACTTGTTGCACGTTATCGGGCTTGATAAGCATCAGGTTCATGAGTTTGAGCAACACATCGAACAATCCATGAACCACAGGACTTCCGAACTGACTAGCCAAATCGCGGTAGGCAGTCACATCTTGCATTGCCAAAAAGCCACCTGAAACAACGGAATGATTATCATAAGCACTCCGGGGAACGGACATTCGATCTTGACATCGCCGCTCTCCACACACAAAAAGTGACCCTCTAATGTTCACATTTTTAGTATGTTTTGAGGTGATGAGTATAAACCGAGTAACTAACATCTGGAGGCAGCTTGCTACCTGCTCCTTTTTGCTTGGAGTTCACCTGACAGAGTTGACGGCTATGGCGGCGGTTTTTTCTTCCGATTAATCCAGGTTAACCCCTTTGTGGTCTTTCAGTTACATATGATTCTCTGATAGTCTAGGAATTCTCTCACACCAGCCTATATGTCCTTTTGTTCTTCGACATCTTGGTTGATTACCCTAGTTTATGCTTCACTTATTTGGGCACGACGCTTTGTTTACGTCGGATATGTATGATTTATTGAAGAAAACCACCTATGAAAGGTCCTTCATTGTGGTCTCCTCAGGGAGTAGGCAACCGTATGTTGAAGTATAATACGCGTTTTACCAAAACAGTTATTTTTCCATTCAAGACAATTATGTTAGATGACCACAACAATCATCTGTTTCCTCCCATCCGTAGTCAAAACTTTCGTGTGTGCAACTCAATAACAGCTGGACAGAAGTACACAAACAGCCCTTGTTGTCATGCGGGGTGATGTTGAGTAGTCAGACGCTAGAAAAGCTAGTACACAATTCCAGATACTCAAACGTCGAATGGTGAGTATGGAGGATAAATAATCGATTCGGGAAACTGGATCACAGCGTTGCTTGAAAATGGTACCTCAACATCAAGTTGCTGCACTAAAAGCGGCTAGAAATTCCTGGGGTCTTTGGTGACCTCGACAGACAGCTACTTTCCGATGAAAGCGTTGCATACAGGAACCACAAATATTGCCCAAAAGATGGGCGCCAGGATTCTCCAAGCATCCAAATGACAACTTCATCTTGACATTGTTTCAACATCCACAGAGTACCCTACAGTTCACGTAAGTCACAATCATATTGGCGAAGATAAACCGACATTTTTAATGTGGATTTCGAACTGTTTCAATTGAAGCAAGTGTGTGTTGGAAAGCTAAGAAGCAGTGTACGACTGTTTAATCCTTATTGGAAATCTCTAGCGGTGTGAGTATCAAGAAACTCAGAGAGTTGCAAACCAGCGACCTACCAGCTAGTTGTATGAGCACCACCTTTCGGCCATGAGCAGCTGATCAGTCACATGATGTGGATGCCAAGATTGAAGGACGAGCGGCGTTATACCTTACCTAAGTCCAAGTGCGAGTTCATTGCTGACCAGCCGATCGTGACTGAGCGGTTAGGTGTTTAAGCACTGGCCGGGGGGCCGCGAGTCGGAGACTCGCCGGAGTTTCGTGAGATGTGCGGTGCTGATTATTCCCAAGGATGACAGCTGTACAGTGCTTCTCGGCTTTTCATCACAGATTGGCTTCACGTACAGGATGAAATCTCCACAAGAAAATCTTACCAAATCTCCCCACAGGAACAACAAATTGGTGACTCGTCAAAAATGAGTCTTCACTGTTGTGAGCGAAGATTGTCAGTTGCCATTATGTTATTTTAGTAGGGACAAAATATTCAGCCCAACAGCGCATGAAATTTATACGGTGAATGACACTTTCAAGTTGTAAGTGCTTAAATGTTACAAACATAAAAACAAGTGTTAAAGGCGCATTTCCGACCAGAACTGAATGGTTTCTGGGAAGTCGAGATTAGAGTACAGCGTGCGATTTGAAAACAGACCGCTAGTCGTCCTGCTGTTAGGTGGTACTGTGCTGGAGTGCGCAGAGAACGTTAGAGCAGGACGATATTAGGTGAATTAGTTTCATAAGGTGTGCCAAAAGTGGCATCGAAAACCCGATCTTCTACCTTGCTAATAAGGCTGAAATCCGTTCGGTAAGTGATTCATATACATGGTTCAAGAAACGAGCACTATACAGCGATCTCAGCCGGTATCCTACTTTGGCGGCCAGTAGTACGACTATGTTCAGCTACGGATATTCTACACACAGGAAAAAGTAACACCACATTGCTCACTGTAAATTCATCCTTCAGAGTACACAAAGCCATTATTGACTTGCTCTGGCTGAAAGTGTGACACATTTATCCAATGTGTAGGCGACCTTCCGATTTTCCAGGTATCTCTGGTTCCCTAGCTTCGTTATCACACATAGTCCTGATCAAGCAACTAATCAGGCGGTACCGTCGCACATGGATTGCTTCTTGGGAGGGGTTGGACCAGTGCACGCTTTCCGTGAATGAATAGTAAAGCGGGCATACAGGCACGGTTGGTCATCGTGATCGTAAAAGTTACGCGTAGATGGAAGAGCATAATTTCAAGCCAACACCTACTTCATTTTCGACATCAACCAGATTTCGATGTAAATGGGTACCTACCGGTATCGGAAAAAGTGAATCCGTAGAAGTGGTCCACCAAGGTCCGATTCAAACGCATGCCAAGTTCGGTAAAGAAGTTCTTCAGATTCTGACCATCCAGTTGACGACGGGCTTCGTTCACCACTTGAGCAAGAAAACCAACTACTCGTTGACAGGCCTGCAAACAGACGACAGGGAGACTATTTCGGGCTTCATCCTCAGTTTCCAAAAGCGAACACGAAACACGGTCAACCCATGGTTGTTGGTCTGTCGTCCGGGGTTCGTAGTTGGATTGCAAGTCGGATGACATCGCCAAAAGCGAACACGAAACACGGTCAACCCATGGTTGTTGGTCTGTTCGCCGAGCTTCGTAGTTGGATTGCAAGTCGGGATGACATCGTTAGTGCGGATTTGTGTGGATGTACAATCCAACTTAAAAGCTCGCCGAGCAAACCAACAACCAAGCAGCCCATCCGAGCCACTTTTATTGCACAACATTGCCAACGGTCAGTTCATGGTAATTCGGTCTTGCAAAGAACAACCGAGTTATTATTCCACGTAAGCTTGTTTGATTAGCGGTTAATTGATAAATAACAGACCTTTCATCCAATCATGTTCCAGTTTTTCGTTAAAGTTGCACTATATGATTACGGTACCCAATGTGTGACCTACTTTGCTTGGCGGCATCTATCTCCAGTAGAAGGTAGCGAGCCAGTAACTTATCCCATCTGTGGGCTTGAAGTGTCGCAGTCAGTATGGGTTACTGGTACTCCGCCACTCCCGCTCCGCAGACAAGTCAGCAACCGAATTGATCTAAATGGTTGGTGGTAACAATCCAGCTCTGAACGACAGCATCTAAGCATTAATAAGCCATCATCGTCGTCGGCATTTTGGAATTAGTCCTCAAGCCCCGATGCTCGGTCTAACTGTGAGTCTTTGATGTTAGCAGTCTCAAAAAGCTGTTCGCTATTTTCTCTTCGTTGGATACCTTCTCAGTTGATGTTACGTGGGGCCGCGGAGCAGAAGGAATACCCTGATTGGTCAGTATGAGTCAACTATGATGGAGCGTTCATATCTCGACAATTCTTGCATCCTCACAAAGAATCTAGCGGAACATGCTGTGATTACCCTACAAATACAACCGTAATAATTCTCCTTTTTATGCATAGGGGGCTCTCAAGCTACAGTGCCTTTTGATATACAGGTAGTGGACGGAGCGTGAAGCTAAGGACCGACACAGGAGTTGCACTACCGCTCGCAGTACACATCAGAGACGGCTTTTTTTAATGTTTAGGGTACATGGTCACAGTGAATCGGGAGCCCAAATATTGCTATCGTCCCTCGGTTGCTGCGCACGTAAACTTAGCGCTTCTGAGGCTCAGTTGGCTGGTCACTTGGACTGAACTCATACTGAATGGGTCCGTCGGAATCCGCGTCTCAAGACCGGCAACCTTAAATCCATCCGTTACGGAGACAGAGGGACGACATTGAATGACTGCCGACTATCGCTCGCTCTGAAACACTCAAGTAGGTTCTGAACATGTGCTAGTCCTTTCAGCTTTTCTTCGCGCCTTCCAGTGACACGTCTCACCCTGATATGGAGAAGCTCCCGGAGCTTAAGGAAGAACTGACTTACCCTGATTCATGCAAACCCTTCCGATGAATCCACCTTTTGATGTAAATTCTTGTTGGATATCATTTCCAAATTTTTGCGAGATACTAGAAGAGCTCTCGTGGTTTAGTGCAACCAGTTAAATCAAACCTACTTCAACTATGCCCAGGGCTCTCAGACATTTCTGTGTTCGGGAATACATAAACATATGAAAAATCAGACGTCGGGTCAGAGCGAATGTGGACGCTTAACAAGAAAGCTAGAGAAATGGACGAATCGCAGACCGCTGGAATGCGAGGAAACTGTCGCAAGTGGTCCATGGAACAAACCGTCTGTAAGCTGAGCGAGTAATTAAAGAACTGTTCACACCCTACGAGACAAGGAATGTGAATAAAACGAGGTAAACACCTGGTAAACCCTAAGCAAGCCGTTTGGTCGGTGCCTTGGGCGCTTAACTTGAAGCCTTTTACTGCTTCAGAAGCACATGAATACGTTTCCTCCAATAAAAACCACCGAGCTGCTGGTCCCGACAAGTCTATACCGATTCTGTGTACTCAAAACACTACACAAGGTCGCTGAGAACTCTCCGACAGCCCAAGACCGATTTAACTTTCTCTGGACTCACCAGGTAGGCGCAGTCCCCAAGTTTTCGTCAACGGTATGTTCTACGTGAACCCAAATTGCACGAAATTGGACCCATATACTTGCCTGATACCGATTCGGTCTTGATGGGAGACTCACCTGGAACTCAGCTCTCATTTATGATGTTCAAGTACAATTTCTTGCAATTTGGGTTCAAGCTAAACATAAGATTGCGGGAAAATCGGGAGCTACGCCTGCCTGGTGAGTCCCAAAAAGGGCTGCGGAAGTTTCTAGCAACCTTATGATTAATGCATTACGTCTATACAATGTATTGCGACATCTCGAAATAAAAATTAAAAAATCCTTCAGTTGTAATACCCTTTCGGGACCTAGCTGCCACGCCACCCGAAGGAAGCACGAAGGCTGGGATACTGCCAGGTTTCCCAAGCTTAGACAAGAGAAGTCGAGATGCAGAGGGCGGTTTCGAACCACGAATCTTCCGATCAGTAAATTCGCGCTCTAACCACAGCCATTTCGAATATCGTACTAAG